ATAAACTGTGGCTAACTAGAGGCGAACTGCTGCAGGCCCCTGCAAGCTGGGCACAAGCTGCCTCTTCGAGTCGCTGTTGGTTGTACACAATTTACGGTTGTTGCAGACTGGGCACGGATGACTGTTGTTGTTGTTGACCCCCACTAGGCACTGCTACTGTGTATAGGCTGTTGTTGCAGGTTACTGACTATTGCTGCAGCAGTTAAGGACGATGACAGGCTGTTGAAGTGAAGGCCCGGGGAGGGGATCAGGCCGGTTAAGAAGGGAGTTGGTGGAGCGGTAGAGGAGCTTTGAAGGTTTGACTTCAGTGGTTTGACCAGAGTTTGACCAAGCTGTCGCTTAGGCCGCCATTGCGGGGCCCTCAGGCGCATCAAGGAATCAAGACCCCCTCCTGCGAGTCTGAGCGCACCAACCTTGTATCTGAGAGTCTCCGAATTTTCTCTATCTGCCCTTCTCAGTCTAAGTCTAGTCCTTGGTTACGAGGGGAAGGCGGCAGGCGGGATTGCAACCCGTAGGTCCGCATCAAGACTCTGTGGGGAGTCCACCCACCGATTGCGGGAGCTCTGTCGGAACTCAGGAGGAGTTCTGGAGGCAGGGAACCATCAGGTAAACCACTTCATCTGTATAACCCACTATTACCCATGTTTGCCTATCCCCCTGCAGTATGATCGTTGTATGCATGTGCTTGTCCCTATGGTTTTCGCTTTCTCTTCAGGACCCAATCAGACTAACTAGAAAGAATGTGTGAGAGTGAAGCCTAAGTTTCTATTTTGTTCTGATTGAAAGCAGACAAAGGATGAATTGAGGGAAGGTGGGAGAAAGGTAGACTGCATGCGTTTGACCGGGTCAACCAAAGCCTGAGCATTGTTTCTATTGTGAATGGCTCAGGGCTATGTTTATTTGGATGTTTTCTGAAGGACCAGGCATTGTTTCTACTGTGAATGGTCTGGTCGCTGTGTTTATTTGATTGTTTTCTGGGGAGCCAGGCATTGTTTCTACTGTGAATGACCTGGCTACCTTAGCTAACTCTGAGGGTTGTCTGATTGAAGGAGTTTAAGTTCTTGTTTATTCTGAGGGAGGATTTCTGGTCTAAGGCTAAGCATTGTTTCCATGGTGAATGGTTTAGCCTGAAAACCACACACATAAGTTAAACTTAGTATAAAGGAAAAGTATTTTATGTATATTTGCATCTGAACTAGCAGCTGGGCATTGTTTCTACTGTGAATGGTCCAGCGTTAAGCCATGTCATTAAGAAGAGAAAAGGGAAATACAAAGTATAAATGGAAATAGTTTGGGCAAGCTGAACATTGTTTCTACTGTGAATGGTTCAGTCCCCTGCCCATATTTGCTTTTTCTTTTGAAAACAAAGTCAGAGAAACACTAAACCCTTGGATATTAAACAGCTCAGGGCAGCTAGGCATTGTTTCCATGGCGAATGGCCTACTCATCTGCCCAAAAGAAGAAAGAAGTAGTTGTGCAACCTGTTCGTGTATATCATGAAGACAAGCTGGACATTATTTCCATGGCGAATGGTCCAGCTCTATGTCTTATGTAAGATGGGTATAAGGATCAAGAACTTGAAGATTCATGAACTATTTATATGGAATCAACTTGAGGTGGTAAGAGTACTTACATCGGTGGTTTGGTTTGCATGTGACTGGATAGGATGGCTAGTTTGTTTAAGTTTCATTACTATAGGTAGTTGCTATAGTTGCTCGCCACGTGCCAGAGTCATAGAAGTTAGTGTCAATTCCTGCATTTTTCTGTAATAACGTTTTTTTACTAAGGTCAATTCCTGCATTTTCTGAGATCTTTTCTTATTCTTGGCTTTGTATAAATCTTGGCAAGCTACTTTTCCTACGGGAAGCGCTGCCGAAATTTCTACAAATCCAAGAAGTTAATCAACTTTGACTTGTCAGAGTTCAGCTTGTCTTTTCCATATATGAATTAGTATATATCTGAAAAGTCTCCTTTTCTAGAGGGAGTGCTGCCCAATTTTTTACTAATTCAGGGAGTTAGACAAAATTGGACTCTGAGAAGTCAAAGTTATTCTCAAAATTCTGAACTTAGCCTTGTATAAATTTTCGAATAGCACTTTTCTAGAGGGAGTGCTGCCGAAATTTCTGCAAAATTAAGGAGTTGGTTAAATTGAAGTCTAAAAGTTGAGCTCGAGCTATTGTTCGAGTTCGTATCTAACTTAGTATAAATCTGGGAAGTCTCCCTTTCTAAAGGGAGTGCTGCCCAAATTTCTACTAATTCAGAGAGTTAGACAGGATTTCACTTTCCAGAGTTAGATATTAATTCTGCTTTCATATCTGACTTAGTATAAATCTGGAAAGTCTCGCTTTCTAAAGGGAGTGCTGCCCAAATTTCTACTAATTCAGAGAGTTAGACAGGATTTGACTTTCCAGAGTTAGAGATTAATTCTGCTTTCATATCTG